GTTTAAGAGCTCTAAACTGAACTGACTGATAAGACGAGAGCTCTAAACTGACACTGAACTGACTGCCAAGCAATCAGTCAGTCAGTCAGTCTCATCAGTTTGGATTGATTGTTAGCAACTCTGATCAGGATTCTCTTATCCATCACCCTCGTGCGGTCTTCGCTCTGTAGCCATCGCTCGGGAACAAATTCATGTGCATCTTCCCCAAATACATTGGGGTCATGCGAAACGATAGCTGGATTCATTCCAACGGTATAGCCTGCAGGAATGTGCTTCCCGCAAAGTGTGATCCCCTGGCTAGGAGCATACCGAGGCATCGAGACTGCGAAGGCAGAGAACAATCGTAATGCTTCTTTGACTGTGGCTACTAGATAGGGAAGTGAAGCGAGTTGACCATATTGAACTGGGGACGATAGTGTGCCATTCTCGAAGGCTGCATCGACTTCCGCACGCGCTTTTTCGAGCTTCTCTGGGTGCTTCATTAGGAAGTAGAAAACGGAGCGCATAGAGATGGATGTACTGTCCGCTCCGGCCATACTAGTAGGGCTTAGTGTGAAGTCTGGGGGTCTGGATGTCATTATACTTACATTGCAACCCACATATCTGACGTAATTTCTCTGTGTGAGTAGTTCACCTTTTCTCCCTTTTCCTGCACAATTGCTAGCAACTGAGACAGTAGATCAGGTCTCTTTTCAGTCACTTCCAGTGTTCTCTCGGTGGCTATCTTCGTCTCTATGATTGCAGTCTTCTTGATATCCTCTACAGCCAGCACAGCTTTCAGTAAGCGCGGAATACAAACAGCGATCAGAAGCAGGAATGGCCGCATGTAGTACGGAGTCACTGTCAAGAGAGTAAGGAAAGGCATCGCAAGATGAACCGAGTGGATGTAGCCTTTGTAGTCGATGCTGTCCCGTAGGAATCCAAAGGCTTGACCAAAGAACGCGACGCCAACGCTATCAAATGAGTACCTGGTTCACGTGTCAGCCAGGACAATCTACTAGTGATCACATGTAGCTCACATTTCGAGCCAAAATCCAAAATCGAATGCTTCTTTGCTATCAGCGAAGCTATCCATTCGTTCTAGAAAGAGTTCCAATGTCTCGTCCAGCCGGGATTCATTCTTTAGTATACTGGAAAGTGAATATACGCCTCCAACAATCCTCCGATACGCTGCGTGAGCCTTCTCGTTGGTCTGTGTGAATAGATCCGGTTGGCTGTTTAGTCCTTGTGGCCGCCACGGTTTATACCAGTCCGTTTTCTCGAGTGGTTTCTGAACTGGGTAGATATACGGAATGGCCGTGGTATCGGTTGTGACGATCTCATCGGGTGCGATCCGAATAATCGGGCCATATTTCCTATGAAGAACGCGCTCGACAATCTCAATATCGCCTTTGTGATGGTGCCACATAAGCCATGTTCGCGAGACTGAAGGCCAAAATGGCCCTGGAACCTTAGCTAGTGGATGGAGGGTTCGAGCGTAGACGGTCCAGATGAGATAGTATGCCGCGAAGGATATAGCGATGTAGAACAAGAAGACAGAACTCGTTTTTGAACCGAAAAAGACATCAGATAGGAGCGCCATGTCGTAGATGCCGACGTTAAAGAGCAGAGCGACTCGAAAACTATGGTTAGTAGAGGGAGAGAGCGCACTATGTCCCGTCGTTTATCAGTAGCAGCAGCGCTCTGCAGTGAACCTGACAGGGTTGTTTGCTGTGACAACGAGTCATGATCTGAACATGCCATACTAGTATACTCAAAAGAGCAACGAACCCGATGCGTGTACCTAGGTATACTGCAAGTACTGGGGCGTAACGCGGACCCTCTGATTCTAGCCATAGTTTGCGCTCCACACGTCAGTCAGAGATAACCTAACTGAATTCTAAGCTTCACCAGCTGGACGCGGTATGGGGGCTAAGACTGCCATGAATGAGGGGAGGGATCGTGAACCCTGACAGAAAGAAACCCTTTTCGGTATATCCGAGAGCGGTAGCATCCTTCCGACTCCCCAGCAAATGGACGTAAGGAAAAGTGCTGCTGGGTCTGCCTCGTGTCATACAGTCAATAGCCTAATGGACTTTGAACGAAAGTTACTTCAGAAGATGAGATCCCACACTTTTCGTAGCTGGTGGCTTTCCTCATCTCGTTCTCGAATGTCGATGCAGCTTACTCATGTTACTGTTAACGGTCTCTTCCCGCGCTCAGAAAGCCACGAAGCGAGACGGCGCTAGCCATGAACAACCGCTGTCACTCATCCTTGCCTTCATTACGCGACGAGTCTTTGGCCCGCGGGCTAAATGTAGGGCGTACGCACGTCTAGGCTGCTGGTAAGCCGATACCTAGGTGAAATTTCCAACCGCATTTACGGATGCATATCCTAAGAGGCCGCTTCATATTCTTCGCTAGGCACCTGTAATCCTATGGTAATAATGACACCCCCATGGAAACATACAGCTATGTGACTTGGAAGTTGATCGGACTACTCACTACGGAGTACGTTACCTGGTTCATGTTGCCAAAAATAACTTCGCATGGATCGTCCCGTGTACAACTATTTGACTGGGAAGTGGGCATGGAGCCGCCCGAGACAGCACTTCTGCCATACAGCGCTAAGCTCGCTTCGAATTCTAAATAGGGCAAATCAGAAACACTGGGGTTTTCAATACTATGAGGAGGCTGGAGGATACAGACGAGTTCGCTGATGCTGTGGAGGACCTGTGGCTGGCATCTTACCATGACTGACTTCGTACTATCTTTGATCATCACTCTCCAAGTATCAACTTCCCCGATACTTACATACAGCCAACCACGGGCAATGAGTCGCAGAGAAGTGGTAGGTGATAGTGATCTGTACACACTGACCAAAGTATCACTACAAGATCAATACTTTCATCTCTCACTCATGACCAAGAACAAAAAAACATACAACAGCGGGGATTCGCTAGTGGTCACCCACCTAACTACTAGTCCGCCGGTCAAAGGCTTGACGTGTGGAGAGCAAACGGGATCCAGTATACTCCTTTACCTGTGGTCGTATGTGAAGGTACTCGAGAGGTAAAGGTTATATGACGGTAGTGGTGTTTCAGCTCCAACTGTTAAATTCACGATAGCTCACAAGACCTTTCTGAAAACCATGCCATACCAAACTTTCATACCAACCCACTTCCACCCTCTCTCGCCCACAGCACCACTCTCAACATCCTCCTTTCTCATCTCTCGCTCATTCACACTTATCACCTCAAGTCCCGCAGCTCTGGCTGCCTCTGCAGTCTCTCCAACTGTGTAGACGTAGCTACTTCCTCTAACCTTCACACCATGTGCATTGACGAAGCCGGCTTGGCTGATACGACCCATGTCTGCATGCATGTTGGTTACCAGCGCTGTACCACCTGGTAAGAGCAACGTGCACAACGTGGCGAAGTAGTCCTCTAGCGGAATGTGCTCTAATACTAGAGTAGAGATGACTGCATGACTTGGCTCCAGGTTTTGAACAGCAGGCAATGGGGATGTCGATGGATCGTTGACTGTTGGAAAGCAGTCACAGCACTTCAGTCTTAACCGCACCTTCTCTTGACCCTCAATCGACGTAGCCAGCTTCTTAGTGGCGACATTCAACATACCCTGCGAAAAGTCCAGACCAGTAACTTCGATGCTCTTTCCGTTCCAATCATAGCGTACGAGCTTTCCTGTATTTCGTCCAGTCCCACATCCCAAGTCGAGGACATGAAGCTTCTCTTTTGTGACATTGCTGTTCTTGACTTGCGACAAGAATTCTGGAAGAGCTTGTTGAAGTTCCAGATCGTCAATTGCTTGCAGCATGTTGCCATCGGTATCGTAGATGGAAGCCCATTGGTCGTAGGCAGCTTGAGTTGGAATATGCTGGACTGAATTGGAGGTGTTGCTTGCACTTGTAGCCTGCGTGGGGTTTTGTTGAACGTCCAATGTTGAGCCCGAGTCCGTAGTTGAGAAGGAGGCATTGACGTTTGAGGGCGGGTTGATGTCCACAAGGGAAGTATCGAAGGTCATATCAACGGATGTTGGTTGCGTCATGTTGGTTGAAGCGGCTCTTAAGACCTGATTGTGTCTTCTTTTTTTTGTTGAAGAGGAAAGACAGGAGTCGGTCGTAGTTGCAATAGCAGATAGTTGGCTGTGGCTCTAGCAACAGATGACGACGTTTATCGCGGATCTGAAGTGGGGTAAAGTTTCTGGGGGCTGATACTGTCTTCGATGTTGAGTGCCCAACGAAAGTCTATATAGAGATTCGTTTAGCCAATGACTCTATTGTGCGCCCTCTGCGAGTCCGATATGTATCCAGCATTGCCTATTTAGGCGATGTGTCGTACAGCTTCCACGTAGCGTGAGTCATATCTGCATCCCGAGGTATTAGGCTCCGGGTCGCGCTAAAATGTCCGCGGTGTCCGTTTCGTCCAAACTAAATTCGTCATAAATTTGTTCCTTCCAAGCTGAGCTGAACAACGCGTCTCGTTGACGCTTAATTGATCGTTCGTGGTACTCAAGACGAATTCAGATGGTACAGTCGTACTGCGTACACTCGATTATAGCTTACGGGTATTGTCGTTCACTCAAGATGCTTCTTCGAAATATCTAGCCAGTACACGGTTTCGATGCGTGACTAGGTGTCTGCGCGCCATTAGCGCGTCACGCAAACGCGTGTCCACCCAATCCTTGCCCAATCTCTGATCCAATAGCAGATGCGTGTACGCAAAGACACTAGCATCGAACAAGCCCGGTCTCTGCGCACCAAAGAACCAGTCGTCTTTGCCTAGCAAAGCCTCGAGCGTTGCAAATGCTTCGTCTGCCTGGTTATAAAGTGTCTCGTCGTTGATGATGCTTGAGAACTTAAGGAGCTCGGTCTCGGCTGCCAGACGCAGTTCGCGGGATATGGCGAGGCGTACAAAGGAATTGCGGGAGCTCGGGAGGATGTAGAGGGGTTCGGCGATGGTGGTGAAGTTCGGGGAGAGATAGATAGTGTAGAGCTGGAAGATGTTAGCCATGAGTCGAGTATGCTTTTGCGGTCAACGAACCCAAGCTCTCCGTATACGATGGTCTAGTAAACTTAGATATGCTTCGTATCGCGGGTCTCCGGGCTCTTCTATTGCCCTCTCACTGTTGTTCATGGCCCATCGTTGCAGCTTGCTGGAAGGGACAGGTTGGGGTCGCTTATAGGGATCCGAAGATGATGGGATCACGAAAGGTAGTGAGCCGCTGGGAGAAGCATGGTTGTTTGCGGATGCGACTTGGAAAGGTATCTTGGAGAACTTAAGGTATACCTGTGATAGTGTGAGCCCGGTAGCGGGGCATGGGGGTGGTTTGAGACATAGACTGACCTGCCACTTCAAGCACGCTGGGTTGTGCGAAGGTGCTCCTCGTATTGCTCCTTCATCCGTGGTGAAGACATAAAGCACGTGAGCATTGTGATGCTGCGGAGCGCGTTGTGGGAAATCGTTGGCGGGATACGTGACGAGTGGGAATTGGTCGAACAACTGTTTTATCGGAGTCGGAACCGAGAATATGCTGCGTGACGATGGCTGTCTTCTGAGACCTCTTGTGGTACCATTGCCGTCGTCGGTCTGGGACATCATGGCTATGCGTGGTGATGCTGGTGATGATGTCGCGAAAAGTTGATGATGCGGCGGCCTCGGAGGAGAGCGCGCCGACCTCGTGGCAGCTGTCATTTACAGCTCTTTGTCTGCAGCACCGCATCTCCTCCCGGATATCAGTCGCTTGCATTGAACCCATGATGACCCATCGAAATCTATTCGGTCATCTATTGATAGCCACGGGTGATCGGTCGCTACATGCTTTAGTATGGTATCTTGCAAGACAGCTATGGTGGTTGACTTCACGAGTTTTACAATCCTTCCAACAGCAAAACTATAAGACTTTAGACGACGTCAAACCACAAATATGTATCTTTGTGTATCCTTACAAAGCAGACTTAGCCGCCAGACATGATAGCGCCCCATCCACTGGATAGCCTTGCTTTAGAAGCAACAGATATGCATGTTGATGCACAGCCCCCACCGGTGAGCAATGTTGTTTCAGCCGTATGCGCGAAGAAATACGTGAGAATCTCGCAAGAATCGCGCACTTGTGCGAAAATCTCGCCCAAGCGGACATCCTTCATATGCGACCGTAATAACGACCTTGGGTCTCGAGAAAGGTCACCTTACCCCGATAATCAGATCACGTCAAAATCATCGGTGCGTCACGTTATCATTGGTTTCACGCAGACTTGTTGCGATCATGCCGAAAATAGAGAAAGGTCCGGCCCACCGCCTTTTTTTCGACTCGGATGTAGGCGAAGCTCGAAGCTCTTCATGGTCCGCTAAAGATGACGAGATACTCATCCAAGCCAGGGCTCAAGGTAGGTTTTGATTGTACAGAACGCATACAAAACATATACTGATTTTGGAAATCCACCTCTGTAGGTCTCAACTGGAATCAAATAGGACCAAAGCACTTCCCATCAAAGACGCCTAATGCCTGTCGTAAGAGACATGAGCGTCTCATGGAGCGACAAAACGCAGAACAATGGGATGGTGTCAAGTTAGATGTCCTTGCCCAAGCGTATATGGAAGTTCGTCGGGATATGTGGTCTATGCTTGCTGCTCGAGTTGGAGAAAAGTGGCAGCTAGTTGAGACGAAGGTATGTTCTACATCGGTGCTTCGGAAACCGTCATTTAAATCAACACTAACAGATAGTGTAGTGTATGGAGAAAGGCTTGAAGAATCTTAGCCAAGCTTATCGCAGCGCACAAAAAAAGCTACAGCACGGAACATACCATGACTTTGAAGACAGCGCGATCGGCACCACAGATCTCGAAGAAGAACAAGACGATCATCATGTAGACCTGCACACACTGTCCGCAACACCCGATACTCATTACTCCGCATACACAACCTGCGCCATGGAGTATCGACAACAGCTACCGAACATTCAGTCTATACGGACTAGTTCATCCTTACCTCACTCTGAACGTCCCCTACAGCAAAGTTTGGGTATGGTACACTCAGTCAACCACCTTCGATTACCTACCCCGTACATCGAACCTATAAAATACTCGGACACGGTGGAGCATCCGAAATCGCATAGCGAAGTGACTGTACCTGGCTCCGCTTCTCTAACCTACACCAATCCGGCTAGAAGTGGCGATCAGGCTAGGGTTACACAAAAGAAGGTTGCGAACTTCAACAGAGTGAGAGATTCGATTGAACGCCTCATCAAAACGGAAGATGTGGAAGTTACGTCTCCAAACAACCTGTTTGCTGGGGATGTGCTTGGTCAACATCAGGCAACTCGAACACAGAATAGCGTTTGTAGCGGTGCTGAGTCCATGCCTAACACTGATAAACGGGGCTTGCAAAGTCAATATAGCGATTCATACCCGAGATTCCAATCCAACAACGGCTCACTTGCGGCGATAAAGCCTTCTTCCGAGAGTGCGGTAGCAGCGTCCACGCCACCTGGGAACGAACGTCTCAACGAACTCAAGCAAACCGCAAGGGGGCCTGATCTGCTTCATCAGGAAAGTACAACTGCTTGCAAGGAGGAGGTGTTGGACCGACTGATGTTGCATTTCCACGACGTATTTACCACCCGTGGCTCTGAAATACATAATCGGGGTGCAAGCTCTGAGACGTCAAGTTCTCCCAAATATTCATCCGATAAGCCTCAAGGAGACTCAAAATCGCGTACAGTAAAGAGAGGCCTCGATGCGCTACGCGCAGATGACGAACAGGACTATGGTAACGACGACAATAACGACGACGATGACGATGGCTCTCGAAAGCGGCGAAGAAAATCCGAGAGGTCGGTGAAGTCGAACATTGCATCGCACAAACGATTCGCATGTCCTTACTTCAAGCACAACCCCTTCAAAGACCGGGCATCGCGGGCTTGTTCTGGACCAGGGTTTCTTACAATTGCTAAAGTCAAGTATGATCTACAATCTCATATCGGCTTGAACAGTCTTTGACTAATATTCTGCAGAGATCATCTATATCGTGTTCATCATCTACCGCCTCACTGTCAACGTTGTTTCACAACATTTGAACATGAGACACAGTTGACAGGCCATACACGTTCCTTAGAGGGCTGCGCCGTGACAGATGCGAAGCCCATAGAAGGGTTTAACAACGAGCAGCTCCTGAAGCTGAAAAACAAAAAGAGCATGCACCAAGCTGGTGGCGAGGAAAACCAATGGAAGTTTGTTTATTACATTTTGTTTCCAGACACGGAACTCTTCGAGTTTCCCTCTCCATGTGAGTTTATTAATTCCTTCGATTCGTTCACGCTAATCTCTCATCAGACTACGATCACGATAGCGATGTAGTAGCACGACCGTTTAAACAGCCTTCTCCGAAGCCACCCGACCTCACACAGTTCGACGCTTTTCTTTGTCGCGAACTACCAAGGAAGGTCAGAAAGGCTTACGAGGCTGCCATGGAGAACGAGGACATGCCGATGGAAGAGACATTGAGAAACGAGATGGAGAATATCGTGAAAAGATGTCTCCAAAACTTGTCAAGAGCTTATCTCGATAGCGTACGAACGCCAGCGATACAAACACCCGGAACGACAACGCCAAAGCAAGTGGGATCTGCTTTCAGCTTGACCAACCAAGCGCAAGATCAGCGACGGGACTCTGGCGTCGAAGTGAGGAATCTATGCTATCCGCAGTCAGATCTTGTGCCCTCGTACTGGCATGACGCCCCGACCGCATCGCCCTGTTTCAACCTCCCAGGAGGCGCGCATCTAGCAGATTGGGCCTGTGAATCACAGTCCGACCTTCTGCAAAGTTCTTTATTCGACCCCACATGGCTCGACACAGCACTGACAGGGGGCGACGCATTGGAAGCCAACCGCGTATTCGAGTTTGCGGAGCCTGCCAAAGTACAGCATGACACAAGCGATCGAGCCAAAGAATGGCTCGGTAGAGGAGCAGCAGCAAACTGATCATCTTTGTTGTGCTAACACGTCCCTGTACGCATCCTCTTATGAGCGCCGTTTTAAGAGTTCTCAATCACATCACCTCATGGCTGCTGGGAATTATTCTCTGAATACCCCATCACATTACATAGCTTGAACATCTACACAATACATTGACTAGTGTCAGACTAACACTACTACTGACGTGCTAGAAATAACAACTGCGATACACCTTTACTATCGATCGTCCGATCTGATGAACACTATACATGCTCGGCTGGCAAGAGGCTCCGAACTTAACATTGCAAGCATTCCATAGTCCCCGAACCGAGCATTGATCGTCAGAGTATCCTTATCCTCCGTCCCTGGGTTGCACTCCCGATTCCTCCCCACCTTTGGGTGATGGGCTCTTGGTTGTAGCATTAGACAACCGGCTGTTTCCCATAGTAGCAGGTGTATCTACAGTAGCCCTAATCGAAGAAGAATAGGGTACACCTTTCTTCAGCTCTCTGTCACACCTCTTCTTTTTTGCAGTATCGTGTGATGTTCCGTTCTCTGGCGTCTGATTCGCAGTCGGAAGGTATTTTTCAAGTACCGTTGCAGTCGTGTAACTTTCAATCGTACCAGTGTCGGGGTGCGGTTGGAGCATGGTGTCATCAAGGTCGTGCGTGTCGGTGTATAGGATAGAGTTCGCATGGTCTTCCATTGCCCAGTTACCGATATGAAGGATATCAGTGATCATGTTGCTTGTAGTATTCGTCGAGGACATTCTCTGCTTGTACTCGTCGTGACAATGGCGCGAATATTGATAGTGAGGCAGTTGAATCAATTGTATATATTAGTATTCTCTCGACATCATAAAAACATTTGAGACCTTTCGATGTATTTGTAGACCTGACAAAGTATGAGATTACTTGCGCGAAACGTGTGCGATCATTGCGATCACTGCCTACAGTATAGACTGTCACAAACACATATCGATGTGAGAATCTCGACAGCTGCGCAGTTCAGCTGCAACTACATCGAGTGTATGCGCAATTCATGTGCTTTGTGCAATTTTCGCACAGATTTGCCAATCAAAAGATTCGCGAATTGCTCAACCTCAAGCTACCAACAAGCATACCATCTGCCAGTAGTTGGTTCGAGCGAGATCTGTTACCGACTGCAACCAACAACAACCCTTCGGTACAATATGTATATTGTTTAAACATCACAAAATACTCTAAACATAATCAAAGGGGGAATCAAATTCTATTTACTCGGGTCATGTTTTTCCCTTCTTCATGAAGCAGGCTGCTGCTTCTTACATATCGTCACTCATTACAAGCCGGAGACAATGCTCCAGAATCTCAAGAACCTCCAGAAAGCAAATCTTACGCTACGCAAACGCTTAGATGAGTTGCTGGAACGCACGGTCGAGAGGAGATCGGAGAGGCTTGACCTCCTTGTAGAAGTCAATGGTAGCCTTGGCACGCTTGGCAATACCCTCAGGGGTGAACTCAAACTTCTTGTAGACCTCCTTGTATGGTCCAGAGGCACCGAAGCGGTTAAGACCGAATTGCTCGTGCGAGTACTTCTCCCAACCCATGGTGGACATGACCTCAACACTGAGAGATGGGATACCAGCGGGGATAACCGACATCTTGTAGTCCTTGTCTTGCGCATCGAAGACTTCGAAGCACGGCAGGGATGCAACACGGGCGGTGATGCCCTGGTCCTTGAGGGTCTTGACGGCCTCCAAGCAGAGGGAGACCTCAGAACCAGTGGAAACGAGGGTGATCTGGGCGTCCTTGTTCTCAAGAGCGACGTAACCACCCTTGATGGCCTTCTCCAGTGTTGAGCCCTCAAGCTGGGGCAGGTTCTGACGGGTAAGGGCAAGGATGGAAGGCGTCTCCTTGGAGGTAAGAGCCATGTAGTAAGCAGCAGAGCACTCGTTTCCATCGGCTGGGCGCCAGACCATCATGTTAGGCAGAGCGCGGAAGTGGGCGAGAGTCTCGATAGGCTGGTGGGTGGGACCATCCTCACCAAGACCGATGGAGTCGTGAGTAGCGACGTAGATGACGCGCTGGTGTGAAAGAGAGGACAGACGAACGGCACCGGCAGCGTATGAAACGAAGTTCAAGAAAGTACCACCGGCGGGGATGATGGTGCCGTATGCGGACATACCGTTCATGATGGCAGCCATGGCGTGTTCGCGGACACCGTATCTCAGGTATCGACCAGACCATTCACCAATGCCGAGCTCCGGAGGCTGGAAGTCGACGGCCTTCTTCCATCGGGTGTTGTTGGAGCCAGTCAGATCGGCGGAACCAGAGAGAAGCTCGGGAACGACGTCGTGGATGGCCTCGAGAACGCTCTCGGAGAGCTTTCTTGAGGCGATGGCAGGGTCGGTGGGCTTGTATGTAGGGAGGGCCTTCTGCCAGCCCTCGGGAAGGTCGCCAGTCAATCGGCGGGACAGGTCAGCGTGAAGCTCCTTGTGCTCCTCACCGTACTTCTGGAAGAGCTTGTTCCACTCCTCCTCAGCAGCAGCACCCTCGGCGGCGTGCTTGTGGTACATGTCGTAGACCTCTTGGGGGACGTCGAACATCTTCTCGGGGTCGAAGCCGAACTTCTCCTTGACCTGCTTGCAATCGTCGGCCTTGAGGGGGTTGCCGTGGACACCGCCGGTACCCTGGAGCTTGGAACCGAAACCGATGGTGGTGGTAAGCTTGATCATCGAGGGCTTGTCGGTGACCTTCTTGGCCTCAGCGATGGCCTTCTCGATGGCCTCGAGGTCGGAGTCACCGTCCTCGACGTGCTGTACGTGCCAGCCGTAGGACTCGAATCGCTTGCTGACATCCTCAGTGAAAGCGCACTTGGTGTCACCGTCTGTATGACGTCAGATTTTGAATTTCTTGAAGTTATTCGCCAAACATACCAATGGAGATGTGGTTGTCATCGTAGATGGCAATGAGGTTTCCGAGCTTCAGGTGACCGGCAGTGGAGGCAGCCTCGCTAGCAATACCCTCCATGGCGCAGCCATCACCGAAGAACATGTAGACGTGGTTGTTGATCAGCTCGTAGCCGGGCTTGTTGAAGACGGCAGCAGTGTGCTTCTCAGCAATGGCGAGACCGACGGCATTGGCGAAACCCTGACCAAGAGGGCCAGTAGTGACCTCGATACCGGGGGTGTCGTGGGACTCGGGGTGACCGGGGGTGATGCTGTCGACTTGCTATTATGGTGTTAGTGCTGCTGAAAGACCAAGCTGTCAAAAGTACGTACGCGGAAGTTCTTCAAGTCGTCAATGCTGACGTTGTAGCCGAACAGGTGGATCAGCGCATACTGGAGCATGCATCCGTGACCGTTGCTAATCACTCATAGTCAGTTATTTGGTCTCGTACGATAGGGTGTGAGATGGAAAAAAAGTCGCGATTGAACTCCGAGAAAGACCGAAGAAGCAAAAGTGGCACTCTCTTGTCTGCGGCCACGGCAGAGATGCGCAACTTCTCAACTGAATTGCTCCAGAATTGCGCTGCGCAATCCCAGCCTGCTTGATATGGCCGTCATGGCTGCCATTGTTGGTACAAAAAGTACAGAAAAGTACGTACGAGAGAACGAAGCGGTCGCGGTTGACCCATTTGGGGTTCTTGGGGTTGAAAGTCATGAACTTGTTGAACACGACGTGGGCAACCGGGGCCATGCCCATAGGGGCACCCGGGTGGCCGGAGTTTGCCTGGAAGGTGGCATCGACCTACAGAAACACACAAAGTCAGCCATTGAACCTCTCAAACGACTTTCCGCAGGCTTCAACACGCTGCTGCCGCTTTTGTTGGGATGAGAACTGCTAGCGGGGTAGCTGTTGATAGTGGTGGGGCGGCCAATGGTATCAGAAAACAACAAGAGAAGTGTACATACCGCTAGGGTTCGGATGGTGTTGATGGCGAGCTCGTCAGTCTTTCCGTACGGCATGATGGGCAGTGTCGATGGGGAAAAGATTGAAGAAGAGAAGTTGCGTAGACGTGCTGGTGTTTAGGTTTTGTAGTTATAGTGGGGTGGCTAGGCGTCATGCCTGCCTCAACTATAACGCCAGAGTGGACGTTTTAGTGGGGTCTCTCAAAGCCCGATTACATCAACCAGTCGCCGCACTTTCTGCCATAACATGCAGCATCCCACCCGTCCAAGCCACGGACACGAATTGCTGCTTCGTTTTAGTAAGCTTGCGCCGTGTGCTGACAAGGCTTTGCGTGCCTAGTCCTGGCTATCATGCGCTGTTGCAAGTGACTGTCCATTACTAACCTCTTGCCCTGTACAGTCTCTGTTCCCTCTGTATCCGCCATGCGCCGAGAACGACCGCATCACGGACGTGGCGGATCACAGTGCCCCGATAGCGCAGGGAACCTCTCTTCAATCTCTTGCCTCAACTTCCGCCACGCAAGTACACGATGCAACAGAATTCTTCCGGGCGGCTACCGCGACACCGGGATCGGCGCCGCGGCCGAAACGGAGCTGAGTAGATGAGGCTCAATCGTGGAACCCCCAAAACAACTGTCTGGACTAGAGCCGGATATTTAACCTGTTTATTCTCCGGTGCGCTGGAGGAGTGGAAGACTACCAAGACTACCAAGACGAGAGACTAGGCTGTCGGGACAGTTGGATAAATAGCGCGCCCAGTGCTGTATATCCCGCTGTCTGGCTAATCGTAAACTCAACACCATGAAGCGTATGCGCCAAGGCCGCTTCAAGACTAACGCGATCAAAGAAAAACAAGATTTGAAGAACATCGTACGACTTGGTTGACATCTCCATTTACATTTTCAACCTACGTAAACAAACAAATGAGCGCTGTGGGTATCTATCTCGTACTATACAACATGCAATGAGAATGACAGTCGTGTCTGGTTCCTCCACCCTTCCTGCCGTCCCTTTCCTCCATTAAGAAAATCTATACACAAGAAAAGGTTTATGTAGTCAAGAATTGAACATCATCTTCGCACCCCATCACCCCACCCTACCTCCAGGAATAAATCCTCACCCTTCTTTCTCGGCGTTAGTCGGGGCACCCACACCGGACTCTTCAACCCATCCCGGTCAAAGTCCACATCCACATCTCTGCCGATGTTCAACTCAGACATCTCGTCTCTCTTCCTTCTCACATTCAACGGCTTTACAAAATCTTCTTCATACATGACTGGGCTTCTACCCCATGTGCCGCTTTGCACGCGACTCTTCCGATCGATACCCGTTTTCGACGCAGGTGTCGTACTCCACGACTCAGTGCTATTGCTGCGCACATGAGAACGAACTTTGCGCGGGGGACTAGTGACGCGCGGTGGGGACGTGAAGGGGTCTCGATGAGGACTGTTCAATCTAGGTCGAGACTCTAGTAAGAGCGGAGGGAGAGCATTGTTGCGTTTCTGAAGAAGCATCGATGGATCTGGACCTCTGCGTGGACTTCTGAAGTTCTGCTGCTGTGGTGAGCTCTTTGGACTACGCGGCACAAGCTGATTCGACGCCCGCGGCACCTTTGGGTATCGAAGCTTGGAGATTGGTGACTCAGCTACAGGAGATAGCTGTTGTTTGTTGCTAGCGCTCTCATCAGATAGCTGCTTGTCCTCGTCCTCGTCTTCAGGCGTCGACTCATTGCCGTTCGTTGTCTCGAAAGATGTTTGACTTGCCAGAGAGTCGCGCAAGTTTGTGGAGTTACGCGAGGTAGAGCGTGACAATGTGCTGCTGTGTGACTTCTTGGGCTTGATCTGCACAGTTTTTGGTGACTCTGTTGGTCGGATGACACGCGCTGGGCTGGCTTTGGGTGTTGGCTCTCGGCTCTGATGACTGGAAAAGTAGTAGTCGATGATATCCCCAGACGTGCTCGCATCTCGTGAGCTAGCAGTCGTAGCCTTGGATTCATAAGAGGTGGCCGTAGAGGCCATCTGGAAGGGCGGCGCCAGGCGTGGGCGTATTGCGTGCTCGGGACGAGGTGGCTGTGGTGAGCCATGTGAGGCTACCCCTCCCGCCACAATGCGCTTTGGCTGAGGTCTCTCATGGCGGACAGGAATATCGATAAACAGCTCGGATCGGCGGCCGGTTGGACGATTGTTGGCAGTAAAGTTTGGCATAGGCCTGGAGGGCTGTAGAGCACGGATAGGGGGAATTGGGACCGGAGGCGTGGGCAATAGCATTGAAGATCTTCGGTGCGATGAAGTCTCGTCCTCTTCGAAGACTGTCTCCTGAGTTATCGTACTCACAGGCCTAAGGGGTGCCTGAGTTGTGGTAGGCGCTCGTTGATGTGCAATTGGGGCTTTTGAGGCGTTGTTAGGTACCAATGGTTTTCCATCCAGCTCGGCGCTGATGGCTAGACCTATCTGGTCGAGCGGCAATGAGGAGTTCGAAGAACTGTTGGAAGTCCCTACGCCCAGACGCTGCGCTGGACGTGCTGGATGTTGCTTGCTGCCTCTGCGAAGAGCTCGTGGGGGCACCAGAGGAAATTGCTTTGGTGACTCAAGAACGTTCTCTACTGGGACATAGTGCGAGAAGCGTGTAGAAAGCTGCTTGCCCTTTTCGTCTGTATCGAAAACCACCCGTCGCTCTTTTCGCCTGCGCAAGCACACACTTAGCGCCATGAGTCCAATGGCCATGACGAAAGCTGCCACTGCGGCCACTGATAGTCCGGCAATCTGTGCGGGTGTCATTCTAGGAGGAGCTCCTGCTGCCACAGTGACTGGGACCGATGTAGATGTTTCCGATGATGTGGCAGATGGTATTGATGGGACGGTATCGGCGAAAGCGGACTGTGTAGAGCTTTCTCGGATCCGCAAAGTAGATGTCATCTTCGGTGTATTCGTTGCCGTCGGTTGGATTGAGGACGGAGACATGGTGTGAGTCGCACTAGTGACGACGTAGGTAAGCACACTCTTCGTCGGCATAACTGCATCCTTCTGTCCAAGACAGATTCCGTACGCCGAACTGAGTGATGATTGAGTATCCTCCATTGGGCACGATAGGTATATGCAGCCCAGAGCCACTTCGCCCAAAGACTCTCCAACATTACTATAACGAGAACAAAGACATTGGAGGTTTTCCTGACCAGAACATGATACAGGGAATCTTTCGTCCAGCGAAGCCTGTAAACATTGCTGTGCACAAAGAGGTACGTTTTGTTGGAGCGCCTGTGGGAGCAAGCTTGGTGTAGAAGCGACAGTAGGAGCCGCAAGCATCGGCGAAGTTAATATTATAAAGACTGAGGAGATCCATAGCCTTTGGAAATGGCTCATAAGCATAATTGTACAGTATCTGTACCAGTGTCAGCTACATCAACCAAGACCGTATGACAAGAGGTTACTCACCAAGGAATCTAGACATGAGGGATGGTGCAAAGAAGCGCTGAACCTGCAGCGAGATGAACAAGGAAATTGAAGGAGAGAAACTCAAGGAAATTCGTAACGCGTCGCCAGTCTCATGAGATTTTGTTGATGTATCCAAGAAACAACAAGCGGGGGATGGTAGGCTGACAATATGTATTGGCATCTTCACCAGCCGCCGTGTCGGCGCCCTGTCTGGGCAACCGCTGAGGCGCCACATGGCGGGCTTTGAGGTCATTGATACCTGCAGTAAGCGCTCGCGGATTTGGAGAGAGGTGATTGACTGGAGAGTCGTCGGTTCGAGGATGTGGTGGTGCAGAGATGCTATTCTAGGCGCTCGCATCGTGCGCTAAGCGCTGGGGTTCAGGCTAGTCTACCACGTCAGCCAGTGATTGCACGGCGCCTGTGTAAACTTCACGCAGAACACCAAAAGTGAGTCTTGGCCTACGTGCATTACGTGGGACGAGAACACACTGCAGCCCAGCGTTAGCGACTACCCAAGAACCGCGTCATTGGTGATCGTTAGCTTGCAAAGGCGACGCGATACTCGACTGATGGTGTCGTGTACTGTCCTGACGGTCGCACTCGCTAGCCGGCAATCGTACCTGCGCATCCGAGTATCGTTATATCTCCTTGCGGCGACAAAAACAGTAATTTGTGCTACTTTCATTGATGACCATGTTTCCTACTGGTCTTGATATTAAGGACAAAGCAATGCGCAAGATGCGTCTATTTGAATGCCGGTTTGAGTGCCGGTTTGAGCACCACATTAGCATTCATCGAGGTCAGACCCATACCATGGTAGGTCATCATTTACAAAGACAGCCGATCAGTCGAACTTCCGTCGTCGCTGCAGCATACATGACTTGTAACTCCGTCCAAAGGTCGAGAGGATGAAGACCTCCGGGTCGGCAAATATCGATATTCTTCGGCATTTTCCTGAATCGGTCCTCAAAATGGCTAAATGCGCGGCAACGTCTTCATAATGTGGAGATATCATCGCCAAAGCGGGTAACTTCGACCTGCATATTGCGTAGGTCGGTGGAGCTCACGGGTAAGAGATGTCGAATACAGGCTGGCTCCGGCTTAGAACGCAGATCGTGACAACATAAGGAGATGAGATTCCTGCATGCGTACGAGGTGGAGATACGTGCGATGTGGTCTGCGATGTGGTCTGCGATGTGGTATCTGCGAAAGCACACAAGTAACAGCGTTTGATATTAGACAGCATGGAGGGTGCTTGAACCCACGGACGAGAAGCAGCAGCGGTCACCTGTTCGCGTAGCTACGCTGTATGAGCTGTCCCCCTATTCAACGGCACTCATGTCATGGATGGCCATTGCTCCCACGTGTCGTTCGTGGATCCTCCCGTCCGTCTGACTCGTGACAGTGCGTAAGACGTGAGGGTTGAGACAAGAGTTGTGACTTTTGATGCATCATCCCAGGGAGAGGTGGTCGAGACAGGAAGATGCTTGCCAGCAGTCGAGACAGCATAAACACGGGACGACTGAGCCATGGTCAGAAGCCAAATTAGTAAATTTAGAATATTGGCGGAACGGATATAGGGTTTATTATGACGGCAACACGTTCATAAGTATACTGAGTACCCCA